ACTAGCTGTTGCCCGCGACTTCGTCCGCGTAGATTAATGACTTCTGACAGAATTCATCAGAATCAATTCAGTGCCCAATTAAGATTTACCTATTGTGAAATGATATATCGTAATTTCAATAAATTAAAAATCCCGCAGGGTTCTTACCAGTCCCGGCCCGATCACGTAAGTTTTGAGTAATAAAAACTTCGACTATTGTTGTACAGAATCTCTATGAAATAAGTTCAGTGGTTAAAAGATAGAGAGTCCTGGAGCATTGACGCATAGTTCCCGTTCCCGAGGGACTTCTGTGATAAAAACTATCATACGTTACTCAGGTCCCAAATCATCGTTTTACCGAATGTAATTCAAAAAGATTCAATGATTCTAGATATAATTTTCATTCCCAATTTCACACCAACTATCATTCCCTATTTTATCCCCTTAGGGGTGGAATTTATCAAAATCCTTTCTAAGGAGATACCTATGTCATAGTAACTTTATGCATGCAAAGTCTCAGCCCGATCGGTTTAAAACTGGCAAAGTATCACACAAACTTTCACCCTCTATATTACCCACATTGGGGTGGAAATATTCAAATACCTTTCTAAAGGGACGTGTACGTCATAATATCTACCTGCACGCCGAATTTCAACCCGATCTGTGTAAAACTGACAAAGTCTTATACAAACTTTCATCCCCTATTTTACCCCCTTGGGGGTGGAAATTATCAAAATCCTTTCACAGCAGATGCTTACGTCATAACATCTATCTGCATGCCAAATTTCAACCCGATCAGTTAAAAACTGACAAAGTTTCATACAAACTTTCATCCCCTTTTTTACCCCCTTGGGGGTAGAAATTATCAAAATCCTTTCTTAGCGGATGCCTACGTCATAACATCTATCTGTATGCCAAATTTTAGCCCAATCTGTCCAGCGGTTTGGGCTGTGCGTTGATAGATCACTATGTCAGTCAGTCAGTCAGTCAGTCAGTCAATCACCTTTGAATTATATATATATAGACTACTCGTATCAGTTTACCTATTCAAGTATCGTTGCAATAAGTACCTACTTAGTTTTGGGTTAAATAGGTATTTATTAGGGATGTAACGATACATGTTTTTGCCGATACGATACCGATACCGATTTTAAAGAAAAATAATCGGCGATACCGATACAGATACCGATATTGATGGGTTAGTAGTTAAGCGTTTTGTGTATGTTAAACAAATTTGAAGGAAGTTGATAAAATATTGACACTACAAATACCTAGACGTACATCTGTCTCTCTTCAAAGTTATTTATTTCCTAAGGATGAAATACCAAAAATAATTTAAAAAAAGGAATTAAAATCATCGTTTATTAGTTTTAAATAAAATCAATCACATATTTATTAACTTAAAAAGATTACATAAAGTCAGTAATTAAAGTCTACTTTTGGTAGATTTTTGTTAAGAAAACAAAGTTTATTCAAATTATCAGCAGATAATCTGTTACGCAAATCATTTTGTATCAGTCCTGCTGTTGAGAAGAGACGTTCTGAAGCAACTGAGCTCATTGGGTAAGACAAGTATTTTTGTGCAAGATTTTTTAATTTTGGATATTTATCTTCTTGGCGCCAATAGATCTTTGGATCTTGTTTGATTGGAATGTTTGGAAATCTTAAATAAGATTCTACCTCTTCTTGCTCAGGCTGAATAGACATGTTTGATAAAGGCTCGTCGTCCTCGGCTTCTTTTATCAAACTATCACAAGCAGACCAGATACCCGAGAAAATCTCATTTTGATTTTGTCGCGGCGCCTCTGCAGAATGAGGATTCTCTGTGTATGTATTATTTGTAATTAATGAAATTAGCATACTTTTCGCATTCATGCTTGTAGTTTGCAGAGTGAACGTTCGCAATTTATAGCGCGGATCTAGTGCTGTTGCTAAAATAAATGTTTCATCATTCTCTAAATAATCAAATCTATCATTGATCCCAGCTATCAAATGCAGTATAAAAGCATTATATTCAGGGCTATAAGCATTATCATCCATTGCCGTGGTGTTCTTGATACGTTCTAAGACTCTTCGCAAACTGTTGATAAGCGGTATGGCGTCAGATAAGCAAGCAGACTCTTGACTAACAGACTTTGTTGCTTCTTCAAAATAAGTCAACGCTGAGACAACCTGTTCCATTAGTACCCACTCTTGTGTAGCCAATTCAGTTCTACATTTCACATGGGGTAAAGATGCTTGAACTGCAACTCGCTGCTCAAGAAGCCTCCTAAGTGCGTGAAGGGTAGAATCCCAGCGAGTGACGACATCCTGGTTCTTATTGGGATTTCTGTTTTCTTTTGAAGCCCAATAATGAGCGTTGTGGTAATTGGTGATGCCGTCTTTATCAAATTTTGACTCATCTGTCCACAAGATGTGTTTTAAAAATGCTGGGTTTTCTAAATCTGCGTTGAGCATGAATCTGCAGAAATCTAATCTCCTCACGGGATCTCCTTCTTCGATAACATGTACCGGCGTGTAATGGTATGGATAAAGGCCTGCAGTATTCACTGTAAACCACACTTTCCACTGCGATATTCCAAGTTCTCGGGCAACAATATTAGTGGAAGTAGTTGGATCCGATCTAAACCGTTGTACTATTTCAT